AAAATATGTAAAGTTCCCTCTTATACTTATGGGAGAGGATCACAAAGAATATACTAAAGAAATAATTCTATATAAAGATGAATTATATGGAGTTGATCGTTCACCTATACTACTAGGAATGAACTTTCTTGAGAAAATAGTCCTTATAAAATTTGTCAAGGATATTTAAAAATAACAGTTGATGATAATCCAATCATCATATCAAGAATAGATGAAAATATGAAATTATTGTTATCATGGAAAGAGTAATTAGTATTAATCCCATGAGTCCATATATTGAAATTACATTCAATATAAAAAGTTATTGCAAAATTAAATCTCATGCTTACTTAGATACATGAAGTACAATAAGCTTATACTTACCAAATGTACTACCATCTGAATACTGGAAATATAATTCAAAGAAGATTGTCACCGCTACAACAGCAGGTAGAAATAAGGTAATATACAGCAAATATGCTACGCAAGTACCTTTTCTAATCTCTTTTAGAGAAGTATTTGTTGATACAATATATATGTCAACCACAATTAGGTGTGATATTTTATTAGGACAAAATTTCCTATTAAAATATGCATCATTTACACAATATATTGATAAATATATGTTCACAACTCCTTGTGCACACAAAATATTTATTCCGAAAATAGATAAGGCCGTTACCATTGCATATAAAGACATAAACCATCATAGTTTCTCAACCCAATGTGGTGGATGTTGGAGTACAGAAAAATTTAAATCAGTTACAGTCCTTAAAATGACAATAGAAAATAGGTTAGAAAAATTGAAAAAAGAAAATTCTGAAACATATTTTGAAAATCCATTAGAAAAATGGAATACAGATAAAGTAAATGCAAAAAAAAAAAAAAGAATTAATCAATCCAAACACTATAATAAGAGTGAAAACCATGAAATATAGTGTAGATGACCAAAATGAATTTAAAGATCAGATAAAAGAACTGCTAGGAGCCAAATTGATTAGATATAGTAAAAGCCCACATAGCAGCCCAACCTTTATAGTTAGAAAACATAGCAAAATAAAAAGAGGAAAAGCCAGGATGATGATAAATTACAAAAAGTTAAATGAAGTTACCAAATTTGATGGATATTACTTGCCAAATAAGGACACCCTTATTAAGCAAGTATAGAATGAAAAGATATTCTCAAAATTTGATTGTAAGTCAGGTTTTTAACAAATCATGCTTATAAAAGAAAGTAAACCATTAATTGCATTTAGTACTCCCAATCCTTTAGGACAATATGAATGGAATGTAATAGCATTTGGATTGAAAAATGCAACACAGATATTCCAAAGAAGAATGGATGAGGTAATTAAACCAATTACTCATTTTTGTATTGCATATGTAGATAATTTAATTATTCATTTAAATAACATTGAAGAACACATTGAATATCTTGAGAAATTTTGTTATATTATGAAAAAACATGATATTACATTTTCTTAAAAGAAAGTTGAGATAGCTAAAATAGAAATAGAATTTTTAGGATTATTTATAAAAGAAGGAGAATTGCAACTGCAATCTCATATTGGAGAAAAATTTCAAGAATTTCCTGAAGAAATCAAAGATAAAATATAATTACAAAGCTTCCTTGGTATATTAAATTATGCTGAAGGATTCATTGAAAATTGTGCCAAACATAAAAATTATTTTCTTCCAAAGTTAAGAAAAAATGTAATATGGTCTTGGGAAAAACGAGATTGTGAAAATATAAGGAGGGTAAAAGAAGAATTAAAGGTATTACCTAAACTTATAATTCCACAAGAAGAAGATTTCTTTATCCTTGAAATTGATACTTCAAATAATTATTGGGGAGCAGTATTAAAGGTTAAAAAGAATCATAAAGAATATAAATGTGAAAAGAATTGTTCTTGTCCTGAGATACTTGCAAGTTATACATCAGGAACATTCAAAGAAGTTGAAACGAGATATGAGACAAACAGGAAAGAACTCATTGCTGTAAAAAGGGGAGTTCAAAAATATGAAGATTATTTATTACCAAAAAAGTTCTTGATTAGAACTGATAATACTCAAGTGAAAGCTTTTTTGAAAAATAATGTTGATCCATCTATTGCCAATAGATATATTATCAGGATACAAATTTGGTTTTCATACTTTAAATTTGATATTGAATACATAAAAAGTAAAACTAACTTTTTTCCTGATTATCTTAGTAGGAATGGAGCTGGAGCAACTTAGGACGAAAGTTCAAATACTTGAGATAAAAGTTTCCTATTTGGAAACACAAATTCAAAATATCCAAGATAACCTTCGAGGCAAAAATATAGCCCTTGAGGCAGAAGTAACTTGTACCAAGTCTAGTATCCCTTAACAGGGACCAGTAAATACTAGCGCTCTTCCCGAGGATAAAGGGAAAGAGAAGAAGGAAATAGGAACCCCTTCACAGGGAATACTTAAGCCTATTGCTGGTAATGAAGCTATCAAAATTCTCACTAGGGAAGATATTCAAAATATCAAAAGCGAAGATAGCTCTTCACAGAGCCAAACTAAATCTAAACTTTCTATTGAAAGAATAGATCCAAAAGATATTATCAAAATATGTCATGAGGCAAAATTTCCCAGAAAAGATAACCATGAATAAGTCATTTTCTTTATTGTTATTTTTAATATTTTATCAGATTGGTATCTGAAAATATAAAAGTGGATGAAAACTCTCCACTATGCAAAATACAACAAGATAAACTTCTATCCAGGAACACCAACCAATTGGGTACGAAACTGTTTTGAAATATGAAATATACTATGTATATATCCCAACAAAGAACTCAAAGAAATAGCCCAATTTTCAGCCAACGTCAGGAAAGCTGTTAAAAGATATACTGAAGTCGTCAAGACAACAAACATATACATCAGATTCCATTCAGCAACTATGGAATGGGATCCCGTTCTTGAATATATGCATCAATCATTCCATGTTATTAAAATGGGACTTACAAACCAACATTTTTTACCAACCAGTCAAAATGTTCTTAAAAATGGATACCAAGATATTTTAAATATGATGCCCTACAGAAGAGCAAAAGGGTACAAAGAAATATTTGAACATGTAACTCAGATTATTACTGAGAAAGAAAAATATGAATTTATCCATCTGAAGACCATATAATCTACTCCAATGCAAGGATGACTACAAAGGAAGAAGATATATGTTATCTTGACCATTTATTATCCGCAATTATCTCAAACCAAGTACATGGTTTAGAAGATATGACAAAAGAACTGTGCAAATTACTCTGGAACTACAGTGACCAACATTGTGAATATTGCGTAGTAGAAGATATGAGTCAAGCATCTCTCAACAGTGAAGAATTTCCTGCGGAATTCTTTGATTCGAAGATGGAAAAGTGATAGTGACAAAAGTAGCCCTTTATCACTACTTTAATAAAGAAATTTATTAAAGAAAAACTGTGGCTACTAAAAGACAGAAGATAGTATAAGAAAGTTTTCATAATTGTAACTACTCACCTACCAGTTGGAGACAAATTCAAAGATAAGGCAAATAATTTCTAAAAGAGAGGTCCACCTAGCAAGAAAATAATGGAGAAATCGGTAGAGATAAGATTACAGAGCTACCCAACAAAAGAAGGTGGAAGACACCTGTCAAGATAAGATTCTCAAAATCTTCTATAAAAGGACAGAGGAAGAAATGAAGAAGGCATCTCGAGAACACTCTGAATAATCACATCTCAAAGATATATCCTTTGTAATATGTATACACCACTTGTATTCAGAAATATTAGATAGTCAACAGATAGCAAAGCTTATAATAAGGTAATCACTTATGGAGTTCTAAACTTCATAAAGTGAGTACCAAAGGTATGTAAATATAGATTGCAAGCATGTACCATTTCAGTTTGTGAATATTAAAATAAAGTTTGTTATGTTTAATAAAACTTTCATAAAAGGGTTTCGTTAAATTTCTCATGATTTCTCGGCAGTACAGATAGAGATTTTAAAAGATTTTCAAAACGTTGATTTTGAATAGATGTTAGCCATACCAAAGTACCCGTCTTTGATGAATGGTTTAGGGGGAAAAGGCAGTTTTCTAACAAAATTGTAGCACCTTGTGTGTGAGTTATCTTTTAAAATTTCATTCAAAGTAAGAACTTGATTCTGTAAAGAATCTAAATAGAAGTGAAAATAGAGACTCTGAATTCTGTGAGATAGCATTTGTGGTAACACGACTAGTTCTCTAGAGAAAGAAATGCAACCTTAATTGAAAAGCCTTTTGATGAAGTAGTTGTGGACCCAAATGAAAAAAACTTTTACTTGATTCAGAAGATTGATTAAGTACATGCAAAACATCTATAAGAGCGTACTGGAGGGAAAGCCTGTTTGCTTCTATTCGATTCCTGTAAGTTATTTACTCGCTTTTACATGCTTATGCTTTGATTAATTTTAATGAACACTTCACAAATATCCACATCCACTTCTAATAACGAGAATGATCTCAAATTATATTTAGATGAGAAAGATATTTCATTTTTATTTAAACTAACTGAAAAATCTGAAGACATATTTTCTGTTGGCCAAGAAAAACTTGAAGAAATATATCTAGATATAGATTATTATTGTAAGCATAATATAAGACTGGATTCTGTGAGGACTAGTCGAGAAAGAAAAAAGGTAGAAGATATTATAACTAAACATAAAGATATACAAGAGATTTAAGAAGGAATAGTTCTAGAGTACATAACTAAGAAAGATCAACCTAGAATCTTTGAAGAATTATCAAGATACAGAGAATATTTAGAGATATTTGAAAAATTAAAAAATACAAACATCAGTCCTGATTAATAAATCCCGAAAGGAAGAATTGTAAGATATAATTCTGAAAGACCTAATAATTAAAAGATATAGGATACATCCTACAAATAATAAAAGTAATGGTAAAATAGTATTTTCTATAATAAAGGCTATTGTGAAAAATAGAACAAATATTTCGGTCATTTAGAATAATAGCCCATTGTCGACCTCGCTCTCATTAATGTTGGCCTGTACCCGGTGAACCGCCAGCATTAGTCTTCCTCTTTTTAGTGTCCGAATCACTCTTTAACTTATTCCTGTACAGTCCACTACGTCTACTTGCTCACGGTCTGAAATCTCACCGCTCTCCTTTCACTCTCTCACACCCGCAAACACATAGTTTTCTCTCTTTATTACAGAATTGAATCAATTGATTAGTGGAAGCAGAGCAAGAAAAATGGGCACAGTTTCTTTGAAAGTCGGAGATGGAACAGCAAGATTCAAGCGGGCGTCAGTGTGTTCATCAGCAGTTAATCTGTTGATGCTGTTTTCTGTAATCATCACCAACATTTTTGCTTTTTATGCATTCACATACCATCCTACGAAACTTCATCACAACCATAATCCCAAGAGCATAGCTTTGATCTCGGAAAAAGTGTCCTTGATCCTAAGAGAGATTCATTCTTCACAGAAAAAGCTTGCCCAGATGGAGAAAGAGATCCTGGGTTATGAAAGCATCGATCTTTCAAGACCCAACACTGCAAATGAGCTGAAAGAGTTCTTGGCGCACCATGAATTGCCTTTGGGGAAAGATTCAAGAACTGGGATCACTGAAATGATGGCATCTGTGGGACATTCCTGTGAGAAATCCATGGATTTGTTGTCCCAGTATATGAGTTACAAAGTCAACGGGCCTTGCCCTGATGACTGGAGCCTTGGCCAGAAGCTAATTCTTCGAGGATGTGAGCCTTTGCCGAGGAGGAGGTGCTTTGCAAAGAGTGTTCCCAAGGTAGATTTGCAGCCTTTCCCTGTTTCAATTTGGAAAAATGTTAGTGAAAAGAGTTTTAGCTGGAGTGGTCTTGGATGCAAAAATCTTTCTTGTTTAAATAGTAAAAAATTGAATAAGGATTGTACTGGTTGTTTTAATATAGTTAATGGTTATGAGACTCAGATATATGTAAAGGCTAAAGGGAAAAACGATTTCTTGATTGATGATGTTTTGGCTATGGGGAATGGTGGGACTCGGGTTGGATTTGATATGGGTGGAGGGTCCGGGACTTTTGCTGCTAGGATGGCTGAGAGGAATGTGACTATGGTCACTGCCACTTTGAATTCTGATGCTCCTTTTAATGAATTCATTGCTGCAAGAGGGCTTTTCCCTTTGTATTTGAGCTTAGATCATAGGTTCCCATTTTATGACAATGTGTTTGATTTGGTTCACGTGGCGAATGGGTTGGATGTCGAGGGGAGACCAGAAAAATTGGAGTTCTTCATGTTTGATATCGACCGGATTTTGAGGGCAGGTGGATTGTTTTGGGTGGACAATTTTCATTTTTACAACGATGAGAAGAGAAGGGCTCTAACTCGGTTGATAGAACGTTTTGGGTATAAAAAACTGAAGTGGGTTGTGGGAGAGAAAATTAATAGTTCGGCGAAATCAGAAGTTTATTTATCTGCTGTTCTACAGAAACCAGTAAGGGTATGATACAAACGATTTTCTTCTGGGAAATTGAGATACGAAATAGTATAGCAGCAGTAGTTCTTGTCACATACAAGGGAATTTATCTTGGTCCATTATTTTACACGCTGACCCTTCATTTGTCATGACAATAAGTGAAGGGCATTGGCTGTTTCTTTTCTAGATTGGTATCTGCGAGCAAGAACAGTTGATTTTTTATTCCCTGGTGAGGTCTGATATCTATCTCGATGTAATATTTATCTTACGAATCTGGATTGAAATGAAAGATTTATTTGCACATTAGAATTTATTCTATAACTATCATTAGAATTTTTAGGATTGAAATGAAAGATTTATTTGCACATATCTTCATTTGTTATTTAAAAATGCCTCATTTAACCATGAGGAACAAAGATCTTTGTCGTGAATGTTTTATGTAGCAGTTAATTTAGTTCTATTGGTAGAATGATTGATATCATTTGTCCAGCATTGCTTTTTAATTATTTTGTTCTACAGGCCATTCTATCTTGATTATATTCCATCTCTTGTCCAAGTTGTGCAATGAGCGTGATGACCCTATTGTTTATATGGAGAGAAGAACCTATGATTAGTTTTCAGGAAATTTCCAAACTAACAATTTCAAATCTTTTAATTTCTTATTTTACTATGTTCAGCTCTTATGTATATTCTTGGAAACCAAAGCTTCTGATAAGTTTAAGTTTGGCCAAACATGCTGTGAATACTTGATTTCAAGCTTTTTCAATTTGCTTTGGTGGTGTTATTTCTTCTTTTCTGTTGACTGGATAAACCATACCGCCAGCTTAAATTATGTCCCTGCTGCAAATTTGGCGTTAGATCTAACTTCCACTTGAATTACCTTATAATATAATACCCAAGCTAAAATGTGAAGTTTTATCTTTCCAAAGTTTCAGATTCCTGAAGCCAACTTGTTTCTTTTTCTATCTTTTTTATTGAGACTTAAGAGATTTTGTCTGAAGTTTACCATCTCCATCGGATGGATCTCCAAAGATTGCAGATTTAGTGGGCAGTCAAATCTTGGGATTGGATCTAGTAATGCTCTTTGAAGGTTTATCTTCATAACATCTCCAATCCATTCCATCAATTGCAATTTACATGGCATATAAATAGAAAGACTTTCGATCCATATGATATTAATGTCTAATAAATAGACGCCTTAGTTTAAATTTCATTTGCAATGAACTCTGTTTAAATTCTAATTTCATGTTTAATGTTCATTCAATAGGAGACACAAAAAGAAATGTGCGTGAGAGAGAGGGGGGGAATTTTACTCCTTTTTTGTCATGTCAGTTGGACATAATCCTAGATATCTTAACTTTTGAAATGAACTATTATAGAAATCATCTATTTTACCTTACATGATGACTTCTCTTTGTGTGTGTAATTCACGTTAGAAGTGGGAATGCTCTAAAACATAGATTAAGAGCTACGCAATCATTGTAACTTTTTTCCTTTTTCATAAAATATACTTATGATGTCAAGTAAACGTACATATTAAGAATGAAGAACTGCAAATTGGAACCCACTTAGGATATTGCCTTCACTGGAAATAATATTCATGCTAGCTTTCATTTAAATACATGGCTCTATGCCAATCATAAGACTCCATACATTAAAAACGTCTTTTTTGATCTCTGAGTTCACTCATACATTACAATCCCACGCGTCAAAAAGAAGCTTTTATATATTGGTACCACAGAACTGAACATCTACCTGTGTCAATTCTAGATGGCTTCATGATTTCCTTCAGCAGATCTTCCAATTTCGCAATAAACAGATATACTGCATAAATCAGTTCTGACCATCACGATGGAATCCTCCTCCTCTATTTACCCCTTGCACTGCAGCAGAGTTCAAAAGCTGCATCCCCTCTTCACCCATCTGTTGAACTTCCGAGGGCGATAATATTCTGATGCATCTCACACAACCAACAAACTCCCTGCAAAATCACGTCAAGTGAAATTTTGAAAAAAAAAAAAAATGTGATACAAATTCTTTGGCCCCGAGCAAGTGCAGAAATTTTACTATGGTGAACTGAAAATTCGAAAGAACATAAAGAATTCTGCATGAAAATTGGAGTTCAAGTTGGACTTACTCCCAAGGATCATCCCCAACAAGAAGAACGTCATTTTCGAAATCCACATAAACTAGCTTCCAGCCAGAACCAGAATCGTTGAGCAACCTTTCTAGTCCAAACATGCGTTCAATTTCAGAGCGCAGTTCATCATAATTCTTGAAACCTGAGACATCAATCGACCTTCCTACTGATCCAGCCTTCTGAATCTGTCATTCACCATGTACTTTGTCACCCGATATAATGTATTGAGTTAAGAGAGTAGTAAATAGAATAGTCTAAAATACAAGGCACGAGAGAAGGAAACAGGAAAGGGTATACTTTTCAAATCCTACATGTTAAAGTATTCCTGAAATAAGAGTGAAAAAATGATAGCTGAGAATTTCTTCTGGAAATAAGTTTCTTACCTTTGTATAGGTTCGGAACCGTGGAGTCACTTTCTGCCACGAGCTGTTCTGCAAAAGAGTATTGTCATCGAAATCCACATTGCTTGAGGATGCCCTGCCTGAATTGTCAGCATATTCTTGCAGAGGGAAAGTCTGAGAATCTACTAGACTAGCTGATGTAATCTGAGATTGAACGTCTTGGCTCGAACTGAAGTTTCCCATGAGATAATCTGAAGGATTATGGAAGTCAGCATTCTTTAACGTGCAAAAATCGTCCAATATTGTGTTCGAAATGGAAGGATCAATAACTGTACTTCCACTGTTATTACCGTCAATAGTAAGACAATCGTATATATCACTCTGGACATGGCTCTCTTCTGACATGTCTTTCAAGCCATATGAGCAAGATGCATACTGAAGATTAGACAAGTCATGATGGGGTGATGGATCAAGAAGGTTTTCCTGGGAGGCACACTTGGGATTGTTTAACTGAGGATCCCACAGTCCTTGTCCTGTTGAAGGCAGTACAGGACAAACAGTTTCTGCTGACGTAGTAGTCTGGTCAGATCTCTTCAAAATGGATGAATATCCCGGAGTGCTAAAAGATGCAGTCAGAGGATGACACACGGGCATGTATGAATTGCATTCCATCCGACCAGGGTTTTGAAGAAAGCTATTGACATTAGCAGACTCTAATTGGGATAAATCACTTTGTGGACTCTGCAATATTTGCGACTCCAGAAGTGATTGCATGATCCAAGGACTTGTTTGCAAAGGTAATGAGCCACCATTCTGGTTCATAATTGCAAGATCAGCTACAAGATTATTAGGATTAGAAGGCTTCACCGATAGTTTGTCTTCATTGGTCGGCCCCGGCCCCTCTGATTCAAACTGGCTTAGCTGATTCTTAGCAAGTTCAGGTTCTAATTTTTCCAATTCCAAACTAGTTCCAAAATTGCTCGAGTTGGTGGTATTTGGTTGGCCAACTAAGCTTTGAGGATAAGTTTCCTTTTGTAGTGATGCTGTTTCTGGATGGATCGGCTCAGGTTTCTGCTTGATTTCTGATTGCATCAGAGCCTTAGATTCTTGCAAGGCAGCATCATTAATGATCGTTTCTCCCATAGAAGGTGCAACATTACCAGGACGGTTTACTCCATGAGGTTTCATAAGCATCTTCATTAACTGCTCGGACCACAGGGTTGATACCGAGGAACACTGAAAGTCCGTGTTTCTATTTTCAGGAATTCGAATGAAAGGTCCATTAATCAGACTATCCCATTCTGTTTGTGCTCCTGTTACAGAAAAATGTGCAGTACATCAATTCATGTCAAAGTCGAGCAGCAGAAGTCATTATAATCAGTGAATTACCTATGAACGCAGAGTGGAAAGGGCGTTTGAAACTCGCAGTTAAGGATGGAAATACAAAGAGACTTTCAGGAGTCTCGATCTCCCATGGACTAACTCGATTTTGTTTATCACCACATCCAGGCTCATCCCACTCGACCTGTTACGAGAGATGAATATCTAGTCTAAGACTAAAAGTCAAGAGAACGTGTCTCTAGAATTGTTGATCAGAGAGGTTCATATCAAACATATAGGGTACAAATATCATCTCGGGAGAAATATTCTAATGGCAATGATATAATTTACTAACCTGAAGATTACGCCACTTCGAATTTGGCCATCTGAGTGGATCTAAGTCACTTATACCAACAACAGTGCCAATATATCTATTAAGGAGTAGAGAAAGGCTTCAAAGAAAGGATTGAAAAGGCTACAATGAACAGGAGAGTTGTACATTATAATATCTACCTGCGTTTACTTGATTCTTCAGTTTCAAACATCATTCCAAACCTCATACCAACAGAGAATTGTGTACCGTATACAGCTTTTCGATATTTAGCCAAAGGAATGATAAATTCTGAAGGGCATGCCCTGCAAGTGATTACAATTGCAACACAATCAAGTTACTGAATTGGTCTTATCTTAGGGCCCAAAGGTGTATCTGAGAACCTTGGGTTGTAAAAAATAGTAAACGGGCTTCTATTAGCAGCAGCATGAGCTGCAGCAGCAAGGATTCCAATGTGCATGCTATCAGCGGACAGCACTGAAGATGGTAAAGCTGTTTGCTGACGGTTAACACGCCTAACTCCCAGCAACAATTGAGATTTTTCATTCCTATCAGAGGAAGCAGAAAAAATTATAGCAAATCTCATATAATACACCCTCCATCAACAAATATGTTTCTCCATAAAAAATTATAACCAAAATTTTCTTTCAAGAATATGCAAATGCACAAATCGAATATGTTAGCATGGAACAAAAAAATATGATCCAGATGAGAAGGATGGTAGACATGATTCAGAATTCCCTCTACCTGAACAGGAAGTGTTGGGTAAGAGCCATGCCAGATAATTGCATGCATCACAATTAACAGCTACCATATGCATTTAAATTACAATTATTGACAGTGCCTATAGGGAGAAGATTATACTGTAATTTTCCTCATAATTGGTAAATGAAGGCCACAAAAGTATGATACAAGACTTAGTATCGAATTTGGTAAATATGTATGCCCAAATGCCCAAGCAAAGCGCATATAAGTACCTGATAAATAGAACAGCATCACCCGCTCTAAGCCGCTTTGCACCAACAAACATACTCCAACCAGTTGTGAGTAGATGTCTCTTCGGCTGACCTACACGACCGAAATAAAAATGGTAAAGAGGATTTTTTTTTTTTAATTTAAAAAATGCATTCCACAATCTTAGAATGCTCACCTCGGTATATGTGACGAAAAGTCCACGTATTGTCGTGCAAATCTCGTACAACAAGCTCCTGAGTTGGAGGTTGCATCGAGTAGTCCTGAAAGAGACAAATTTCACACATGATTGCATTAAAAGGCACATTAGATTAAAGTGACCATATGACAACAGCAACGAATTCTTTCAGAAATAAAAAACTTCACCAATTGGGGGAAGAGCTTTTCTGCAGCCCTCCGAGGAACTGAGAAGCCACCATGTGTGCTTGTATCACTTGCCGTCAAAGTTTTGCAGAAGAATTCAGTTGGATGTTTGCTAGGCTTTACCCCAAAATCCGGTATGGGAAAAACATCTTTTTCCTGAACATGTAGAAAGTTATCACTTCACAGAAATGAAAAAAAAATGTTCTGAAGAGAAATGATAGTCACAATTCTTTATCATGTAATATATTTGCCAGTATTATAAACTAATAGTATGCTAATAAAACTAGTTGCAGTAGCCAGGCTTACGGAGTTCACAGGTTGAAGGCTCATTTGGGCATATATCTCATCTGTTTCTTTATCTGCCTATTGATGACAAGAAAGTCAAGAGAACCATAACTATTCCAAGAAACTGAATGCGTGTTTATTTCAGTATATAATACTTTTTGCTGCACGGGAAAAAAAAAAGAAGGAAAAAACATACATGGAGTGTAACATTGTGAACTTGGCACAACAATTGAGCAGGGAGATTAGGATAGTTGGGTGTTTGTGAAGTTGCTGTTCTATTGGTGGAAACTGCAACCTGTTGCCCAAAAATGAGAAGAATATTAGCTAATACACAAGGTATTTCGTAACTAGAGAAGATAAAGTCATATCAAATTGAAGATAGAACTCTTAACAATATACCGATAGGATAGACAGAATTTTCTCTGTCATATACAGTGTTATGACATACAACATGAGAGCATAAACATTACTATATAAACTGTCTACAGAACAGCTAATAAGTGTTTCTTCGTTCCCTTTTTTTACCCTTTCAGATAATAAAAGCAAAATAGAGAAAGTGAGAGATCCATAATGCAAGAAGCAGGAAAGAAAACATTGTCCTAGAAATCTGTAAAATCTTAAAAAGGAAAAAGAAATCAAGCCATGGTGTTCTGGAAAATTGTAAGAGATGGTAATATAATTTTGATTTTACATTTGCAGGTAGATGAAGATTTGCTTGTCCTTGGATTCATTCCTCATCAACTTTATACTGATTCTTCATTTTCCCGTAACCAAAAAGGAATTGAAAAAATTTCTCACCTGCATTCGCAAGGTGCTAGAGTTCAATAACTAAGAAGCAATTTTTTTTGTATTTATGCCAGTTTACACATTATTTGTAAAGTAACCTCCTGAAGGACAAAATCTGCAAACTTCAAAAGTAAGGGCAGGCATGGCATCAACTAGGAAAATGTTTTTATTCCATCTAAATTACATATCATCACTTGTACCTCATATAATATAACTCATTCAATTTATCATTAATTAACTATTCCCAAACAACTGAAGTGTGTCGCAAATCCAACATGAAACTATCCCAACAATTCAAGAAAGTAAAAACCTATATCACTGTCCTCTTCGGGCTTACATTTTTGGCACACGCAGTCACTAAGTTTACTTTCTTGCTCAAGAGAATTAATTTTTACAAGCTTGCTTAGAGCAAATCTTTAAGTCCATATGGGGAAAACAGTAAATAAAGGCACAAGAAATTCAATTTTCACTAAACAAACCTGTTCACTGTGTCCTTGAGGAAAATAGTGCACCAGGCTTCCAACCTGGGGCAAGGTAACCAATGGACCTGCACAAGCATGCCATAGCTCGGAATTTATTATCTTCCTTGTCCCTGTAGTAAATCAAGTCAAAAATAAATCAATTAATTAATAAATAGCAACAACAACAATAGTAAGAATTCAGAGATCACAAGCAATATGAATCAAGAGTCTTTACACATGAAACTGTGAAGTTTTCACTTTCACTTAAATCCACTTAGCATACAGTCTACTACTCGAACTAATCTATGCAGATATAAGATATTGGAGTAAGAAAACAGATGAAATTAACTAACCAGAATGATCCTGCATTTCTTTCAACAGTTTCATCTCTTCAAGCAGATTATGTGCCCCACCAACCAAGCCTCCAGGTTTCAACTTCTCTTCAACAGAGCCCATGTATCTAGGGCCTCTCCCTTTCTTACTTCAACCCCAAAAACACGCCGAAAGAACCCATCTCTTTTATCAAACAATCAACCAAAAAGACAGCATCTTTCCATCCAAAAATCACACCTTTTATCAAAGAGGCAAATTCGCATATTCTTCTCGAAAGAAATCAAAAGAAAGGGACCTAAAGAAAGGAATTACATGGTTATTAGGAAGGACAGAGAGAAATAGAGCCAAGAAAATTATTCAGGGAATCTAGAAGCATGAGAGGAACCAATCAAATTGGACAGAGAGCATGCCCCAAAAATCCTAAGTTAAGGAATAAAACACATGCCCCAAAAATCCGAAGTTAAGGAATAAAACACACTGCAAAAGTTACTGAAAAATCTAAGTGGGGCTTCCTCTTCTCCTCCTCACTCTATCAAAAACCCATCAACAGCAAAAAGGAAAAGTGAAAAATTACGTATAGCATAATTTAGAGGGGTCAGTCTTTTTGCCATCAAAGCACGCGGATCAAAGCATGAGTGGTAAAATTATCTAGTGTCCACCCTTTTTGCTCCCTTTTCCTCTTATCAAAAGAAATTGACCTTTCAACGGAAGAGTGCCATTTAGGAAAACAAAAGCCTCTCTCTTTGTTCTTTCTCCAACAACATAACACCAAAGTTTCAATCTTTTTCTCTCTCTTATTTTTCCCTTACTTCCTTCTCTTTTCTTTACATCATTGGTTTGTATCTGGATTTTTTTTATTGATTGGCTTGCTGGAAACTGGTGTATCCATGCTCTTAATCTGCTAACACACTGGTCGAAAATAGGCTTTCTGCTACAGCTTTAGACCGAGAAAATTTTGGAGATGAAGAAATGAATGAAAAAGAAAAAGTGTGCATAAACAGAGCAATGCTATACCCACAAGAAATCGTGCTCTCCCATTAGTAGAGAAAGAGTCAGATGATTAATTTAAGGAAATGGAAAATAGATAACCTTTGCTTGCCTACATAGGACACTCCAATACTGAAATAATTAAAGAATTTTATAGTGCTAGGATTATATGCTCATTTTCTTTACATGTTCAATATTGTAGCGTATGAAGAACATAAAAATTGACAGCGACGTTAGTTGTTATAAAGCATCAATGGTGATGACTGATGGTCTTTAATGCATTTTCTTAGGGAAAAATTGCAGCAGGGATCTCTAACAATTATTTTTTTTTTATTTTTTTTTTGCAGACTTTATCCTAATCTTTATTTTGTGTCAATGAAGATTCCTAATTTTTCATAAATATGCAACTGAGATCCATCTGGACGAAAACCATTTAAAATACCTTCAGTTGATAGGAAAAACTAAGGAATCAACATCCAATAAAATTGTTCAAAACACCGTCTAAAAAGATATCAACATTCAATAAAACCTTTGTGGTAGCAGATAATTCAAGAAATTTTTTGATCAACTGACAGTGTTTTGTAGGGTTTCTGTCCAGATGGACCTCAAATACATATTTATGAAAGGTTAGGGACCATCGTCGGCACAAAATAAAAGTTAGGATAAAATCTACAAAATATGAAAAGGTTAGGGACCGCTATTGCAATTTTCCCTTTTCTTAGAGATGGTAATATTTATTAATATATAAATTATTAATTATTCTTTAGTTAAAAGAAGGAACTCGTTCTTATTCTAATTCAAATTAAGACTTTGGAAATTTTCTACGTCCATACTCGTAGTTATCTTGGTGATTAGATTGATTGACGTATATTTTCATATTTTTTTTTATAAAATAGAAATTTTATTGTCTTTCATACTAATTTCCTGCATCAGTTAGTATCGGAATTATATCTTTCATATTTGAATTTACTAAAGCATTGGAATTATATGGAATTGCTTGAACATGGGAGTGGGTTCTCGAGTTTCATCTTGAACATGGAATCGCTTGATTGCTCTTTTCGTAATTTTTAAGAAAAATGGCTACATTTCTTTGCATCACCAAATACTACAATACCAATATACTCTTTTTAAAAGTTAGTGTCCAATTTGTTATTAAAGCAATATAATAGATACCAAGGGTGCAATTTTCTCTATAAAGTAATGGTGAAGCTAAAGTTACAGACTTTTGGATAGGCGCATTTTAGCACGTGAATAACGAGGTAGATGCAAAGAGATATATTCCTTCTCACATTTTTTAGAACATTATGACTATTTTTTTGGCTGAATTTTTTTGATAAATAAATTGGGTGTTATAATAAGTTTATAAAATTATAGTTCTCATTAGATTAATGTATCGCCTAAATTAAGTGCTTGTTTAGTAGGGATTTTGTTAATTGATTTTTTGACCGTTAGAGATAAAGTGGATCCTGTCCGTGAGAGAAAAATTCAAAAATAACGACTGAAATAGTGAAATAACGATCAAAAAATTAATTTTAATTGAATTTTAAACTGTACCAAATATGCTTTAATTATTAATTTTGATCTCAACTTTTTAATTAATGTCAAATAATTACTCAGACATTCCTCTTTCTTTGTCAGGATTCTAATGCTTGACCGTTCAACATGCACAACAAATTAATGATAGGCGCAGGATAGCAAAAACTTGACGTGGCGTGTGCTGCCTGCTGTGTTCAATTTCGTCAGGGTAGTTAAAAGCTGTTTTCTTGCTCTTTACCTGAAAGTTTTTAGGGTTTTCCAGGAGAATATTTGTGAGAAATTTAAGGAACAATACTAAAAACAGAAATCAATAATTGTGTACAATGTTTTAATTTGCATATATTTGGCAGGTTTCGTATATAGCCCATTTTTGGTGTTCTGTTAAAAATTTAGATTAAAATTCAAATTAAATTTAACGATTAATATTAGCTACCTATTTCATGAGACCTATAATTTTTCAACTGTATATTCCTTCAACTTTTATCGAAATCTACTAAAAATCTTATTTTTATTTAAACCCAACCGAGGCATAATTAATTTCAAGAATTTAAGTTATTGTTATTTCTTAAATACATCCAACAGCCATACTCTATCAAATTTGTGAAGGAGAAAACACCTCACAGTCATACATCTATCGTATTCGTAAAGGTCGGTTTAGACAACCCAAATAAGTATTCATCATTGACAACGTCTAGGCAAATGTTTGTGCTCCATTGAGATGAGATTTTGGAGGCAATATATTTTGAAATAGTGAATTTTTTTTAAGAATATATGGTTAAAAAATAATAAAAAGTTTTGAGTTTATGTGTGATATTATTTTATGGGAGAATGTGTATTTGAAAATGAATTTTAGAAACGTACAATTTTGAAAAAATGGAGCAATTAGATGGAACTCAATGTGCGATAAATGAAAGGAAGTCTCCATGTGAAATCAAACGAACAACGATTAACCAAGAATTTGAACAAATATATATATACACTCTTTTATATTGGGCAAAGCAAAGCAAAAATAAAATAATTTATAATCAACATTAATTGTCACCGGATGAATGAAATTTTTTCCAATAATTTAGATTCTTAAGCGGAGAAGATTGAAGGAAAAATGAATTGCATTGAAGGGAAAAGGAGTGGAAGCAAAGAAAAGGATTTTCAACCTTTGGATAATTAATGAGCCATGTGTTCATAATCATAGCTATGTATAATTGAATAATTAAAATGAAAAATTGTTTACTTAATCTATCAAATACTTTATGCTCAAACTCAATACACGACTCAATCAGACTCCCTCCTCCTATCAAACAACTAAAATAGACTCATTTTCTATTTAACCTCACCAAAGCAATCCCCTGAAATCTGAAAGGGGAAAAAAAAAAATCTCAGACCTAATTTGAGAATTATCCATACTATACGTACTTGAGGTCAAGAATTCATGTTCTCCTTACAAGTTATCATATCCTAAATAATGTTTTGCCCCATCATATACATACAGATTTTATTATAAATTGTCAAAATTAATTTTTGAAGAGTAATAAGTGGATTTAAGGCCACCAATAATATGGTATATTTTTATTATAATTATTATCATGTGTAGGTCAATATCCATAATTATAATGGCTGGAAAAATTAATTAACCATGTCATCAGTTCTCTAAATATCCAAAAATGAATTATTAATTAGGGTATGATGAAGAAGGTTAAGATTTCGAACCAATCAATAAAAAATGCAGCATGTTTTGAAACCCATTGGTTAAAGGCTATCCTATGGTATAATGTAATTCGCTTTTGCATTCACTAAGTTGACAATATTATTACTTTTACTCGCGTGATATTAAGCTGAGCTTATAATTTTATCTATAATTAAATTTTAATTTAATTTTTTTTTTTTTCGGTGGGAACATACACTCATGGATGAGTAAATAAGTCAACTTAGATGTATGAACATTGAGGAAAAGTCAAATGATTGAGATTATTGCTTTCATTATAATCATAATAAGAACTAATTAGGCGAAGGAATTAGAGAAGATAATGGAGGATTAAAAAATGAAAGAAATTTATGGCAGTCACGCATGATAAATTGAAAGTGAAAGCACCAAGGCATGCAAGGGGAAGAAGGGGAACATAAGAACAAAAAGTAGTGTGTAGGGATATAAGGAGACATTCTCATGCATAATTTGATTTTGCAGAGAATTCCCTTTTGTCCATTTATATTATATATTGTGGGCCTGCCAATATAAGGGCTTTCCAATCAAAAAAGAAACGAGTAAAAAGGACATTCTCTTTTCAATTGGACCCACCCCCACCCCAAATCCACAAACACGCACTTTTTGAGTTGAAATGGACAATGGACAATACTAGGTGCAAAATATATATGTAGTTTTTTAAAATATAATATGATATTTGAAAAATGTAATTATGTTAAATATATTAATAGAATATATTTTTTATAAGATTAAAAAGATGAGATTTTGACTCGTAAGTCTAAGCGACTGAAAATTTTGCATAACTTAGAGATGACAATTTGAACCGTGAAAATCGATAATCGCGGTTAACCGAACCGAATGGGATGAAAAAAATCGAACCGATGGTGCAATGGGACGGATATGATTTTTATTTTAATAAACCGGTTCGTGACGGTACGGGTATGGTATTTACACCGTCGAACCAAAATCGAACCGATTAACCGCTAAAAAAAAACAATTGAATTGATTATTGAGATTTACACTACTTTTCTATCTAGCCCAAAACAAAATCCCCCCTCCACCCCCCACCCCAATTACATCTACATGACTCAGCCGGCCAACCCACTTACCATTACCCCATAATAATAGCATTAGTATGACAGTATATAAATGTAAACCCTACTCTTCACAAACCACAAATTCATGCACGGCTTCTTTTATTGTTAATTTTTTCTATTGTGTGTAAAAAATTTTACTTCTTCATCATACTCTAGAGCTTGTGCAACATTTAGCGATAAAGAAGTTGACGAAGAGTTACATTTTTTTTATTTAAATCTTAGTTAAAACCATTTTGAAATAGGTAGTATCGTTGTATTCTCTATTTACATTTCTTATTTACTATATAGAAATCAACTTTGAGTGTTGATCTATGCTAGTAAGACTTGTGGAGAAGAATAAATCAAGTAACTTCGATGCACAACAATTAAGAATGAAAAAAAAGTTTAGTATTGTTATATTTATAATATTGTTTGTTAAATTTGTATTTTACAATTGAAAATTGGGATAATGTTTGCATTTTCTTTTGGAATATTGTTTGACAATGTTTGCATTTTCTTTTGGAATATTGTGTTTTTGTTTTCATCGATTTTTTTCATAAATTGTTTTATATCAATTTAACGGATGAATCTAAAAAAAATAATTTATTTTCGTGGTTATTAATCGAACCGAACCATGTCGAATCGAGATAGGAATCGAACCGATTTACGTGTTTATGGTGTGGTTATGGTATGATCAAAAAATTGGTGGTGTGGTTATGATTTTGGCCGAACCGACCCATAACCGAACTGTTGCCAACCCTAGCATAACTATGTTATTTTATACTGATTTTACAAAG